GGCCGGGCCGGGCAGGGCGGTCCCGGCGGAGCGGAGCCGTGCCGGTGGATCGGTCCCGGCGGAGCGGTGCCGTGCCGGGATGGGGTGGCGGTGCCGGTGGATCGGTCCCGGGGGGACTGGCGGTGCCCCTCGGCCCCCCCGGCCCGCTCCCAAGGCGGCTGCCAGCGGGTGGCCCCGCCGCGGGGGTGGCGGTGCCGCTGCCGGCGGTGAGTGCAGGGAAGGGGGCTCCGAACTCGGCTCTACCCAACGCGGGCTCATCCCTGGCTCTGGGGACACAGGCGGGGTGAAGCCTTAATTATCCTCTTATTTGGCGCTGCTGCCGTGCAGGGTCCTGTGCCGTGGCTGTGCTTACTGGGGACGAGTCCCTACAGTTTGTTCCCTGCTCTCCCTCAGTTCCTACTGTATGTTATTTATGCATGTTATTTATGTATGTACATATGATTTCCTTTTGCCTGTTTCACCTTGATGTAGCTATTTGCATGCATTTCAGACACTTGCTTTAGGATGGAGCTCGCTGGGGTTAAGGCACGTGGATTTAGAGGCCAGCAAAGGGTGACAGATTTTCTAGGCCAGAGCTATTCCCGTGTCCTGCTCTGTTTGGACAGGACTGCCAGCCAGCTTTCCCAGAACAAGGACCTCACGTTCCTTCTTTCCCAAACGGAGCCATCTGCACCTCTTTTGGTGGGGAGCAGGGCCCTGGTAACGGGGTGCACCCACCCACGGCCAGCGTTCTCCTTGCCATAAAGGCATCCCGTGGAGCTAAACTGGATAAAGCTGGGCAGAGACCTGCTCTGTACCTACAGGAGAGCTGGGTGGGAAACACGAACCAGAAGCTGGCCTGGCTTTGAAAAATTTTTCAATTCTTCAGTTTTTCAATTCTTATAGCTATTTTTAAAAACAAAAAGCAAGCGGTGCTCTTCCTTAAAAACACTTTCCATCGCATTTAGGTTAGTTATTTCAATGGAGCTAGGTTTTGAACTGATTTAAATCGCTGTTTATGAAGAGCAGTGTCTGTGAGGCCTTTATCCTCTTGGCATCAGTAAAAACGAGTGTGTTTTTTCCAGGACTTTCCATCTGGAAAGGAAAGTTACAGAATGTCTTCTCTGCAGAGAGACCTGTTCTCTGCCTGTTGGAGGACAGCATGTGATCTGCTGTTGCTTGTCCTTAAGTACATTTCCAAGCCGGGTGTAGCCTGATCATTCCCTAACAAAAGTAGTCGTTTGGATGAAATCCTTGCCTTTTGAGTAGTGAGCTCGTTGGTCCTTATTAATCACAGGCTCTTTGAATGCCGTGCTCCGTGTGTTCTGTGTGCAGGCAGGATTGATGTAGTGATTGTTTCTTTCCTAAGGGAGAGAATTCCAGAGAGTGAAGTCTCCCCCGAAGCCAGCCTCTGCTAGAAACTTCCCCAAATTGTCTTGGCAGCGCTGTGATAAGTTTGTCAGCCGCCTGCTCTGCATGCTGAATTCCTGGCACTGCTGCTAAGTATCTTAACCTCCTCCAAAATACAATACCTTGAATTTATTTTTAATAAGCCAAATTTCTTCTGAAGTATGGCAGTCAGTCCTTTTCTTCCCGTTTCTCCTTCATCTGGCACATCTCACTGGCTCTGCTGCTGTACCACGATGCTGTACCTTTCAATAAAGGACGAGTTCTGCAGCAACAAAGGGAAGAGAATGTTTTCCCAGTGGAAGGCAGTCTGTCTTTAGAGGACCTCCTCAGACTTTTTGTTATTATATTATTCACTTTCTTAGTACAATACATCTTTCACTTTTTGATTTACTTCCCCTCCAAATATCCTGTATTCCTTGATAGGGTTCTCGTTTCAACTGCTTTCCGCTGAGGTTCCTGTTGTATTGATCCGTTTTAGTTTTGCATAACACATTCAGATTTTAAATGTAGTCTCTGTGCTTCAATGGTCTGTTGGTTCTGTGGCAACACGTCTTCTGCCTGTGAAATTACAGGCTTGTGAAAGAGATGGAATATTGTTATTCCTTAAACAAAGTTTGCTCAGAAAGGCATCAGAAAAACATCTCAGAAGCGTGTGTGTGTCCCTGGGACTCAGTCAGACCCTGAAACATCTTGTGTTGGTTTGAAATTATTCTGTTAATTTGCTGTTAGGATTTCAAGGAGCCCCTGGGATTTGGGTTGTGTGGGATGGCACCCACGGGCCAAGGATATTCTTAAGGTTTCCAGTCCCTGTCTTCCACGGAGTTGCACCTTAACCACACTAGCTCCTGACCTGGTTGTCCCAGAGCAGTCAGTCAGTGTTTCTGGGGAGCACTGATCTTGTGTGGGGCTGTGAGCACCATGAGAAGGACATCCCTGCTTAGGGACACCCCTGCTTCTCCTGCCTTTGACACCCAAGTGTCACTCGGCGCTGGGTCACAGCTCAGGTTAGAGCCTCAGGAGATGGACGTTATGGAAAGCTGTAAAAAGGTGACAGCGTTCAGAGAAAGACACCGAAATCATTACAAACTATGTCTTCATCGCTGTCTGACTTGGCTTCGGGCTTTTCCTTCCGTTTCCTTGATGTAATTAGTCATTTCACACAACTTCCCCTGATCCGCTCCTTTGATAAGCGCCATCCTAAATTAAACACTAATGCAGGGTGAAGTGTGCGCTTTTCCCAGTGGCATTTTAGCCCCAGTTTATGAAACTGAGGCAGAGAGACGTTTAGTGGGATCTGCAGATTTCCCTGCTCCTGCAGCGTGACACGTGCTGTTAAATACAAAATCTGGGGGATCTGGCTTAGTGTCTGGCACTCTGTATTTTACTAACTTTAGTGTTCTTCCAAGTAAACGCGAAATCCCCATCGGTCATAAAGAGTGAAATCCCGAAAAGCTGTATTCAGTGGCCTGTACCTTGGAAGAGAAGTAACTGTGGCTCTTGGTCCCTCCAGAAGCGAGCGTGCAGGCTGGAGACCCTTCCCCCTGAGGCTGGTGCTCACCCGGGGGGCTGTGCCATGGAGCTGGACTCCAAACAGAGGATCTCCCCCGACTGCTGTCCCTGGGCTACAAAGACAAAGCAAAATACAATGGTACGTTCACACTGTCAGCAACACCTCTGTTTTCAGAAGATGACTTTTAAAATACAATTTATAATAAAATTGCAAATAATTACCTTTCTTTTTTTTCCCCCCTTTTTGATAGCGTTGCATATGGTATATGTTTTTGTTCATTAGGTTTTTGAAAACCACGGGAGCAGAGGAACTGCCCAGCCTTGCCCAAGATGTATTGCTGGAGAATCCGTGAGTATATTAACCTCCTTTCTGTGACATAAAAGATAGACTTGCTCTTAAGTATTAGATCCATAAAACATAAAGTTAATAAAAACCGCAATTACATTTCTCAGGAATAAAGCATGTAAATAAAAGAAAGCAGATTGATTTAGCATTTCTGAGGTACGCCGGCAGAGCACAAACTAATACGTTTCCAGCAGCAGTTGGAAAATATGGAGACTGCAAACACATTTTTCAAATTCGCTCTAAAAAGCAGAGTTTAGGAAGTAACTAAAGCAAAGAGCAAGATACAACTTCCTCCATCCCATTTTACATCCTCCGTCATTTACTGGGGCATCATAAAATATTCAGGAATCCCATTCCATCTCCTGTTTTCTCCTCTAATTGGATCCTTCCTTTCCAAAAGTAGTCATAGCCTGAAAATACTACACTGTGGACATACCAGGGCTACTTGTAAATGAAAATAACGTTTGGGGAATAAAACCCAAATTGGCACCTGAGACACTCAGTTTCATTGTATCCTGGAACCACAGTGACATTAGAGTTTGTGAAATTCTTCTAGATCAGTGACCACTTAATTTTGGAAAATTACAACCAAGTACAAATATTGTAATTCTAAATAACACCATTTCTATTTTAAGCCAGATCAGCCTCGTGTTTTTTCCTATGGCCCAGTAACGAACTTGAGATCATGGCCAGATAACTTGAGAAGGTATCATTGCTGTCCAGACTTTCTAGTTGTTCACAAGTCCTTCAGGGGGAAAAAAAAAGGGGGGGATATTTGTGAAGCTGTTGGTGGAACTCTCAGTCTCTTTTCAAATGAAGTTTGAAAACACACACTGAGGAAAAGGCTTCAGTGTTTGATGAGGTGATTTTTATGTCATTTCAGGGACACTTCAATCATATCCTGGGCTTCTAGGATGGGCAGGTGGGCAACGCTGCTTGTCCTGGTGAACTCCAAAGTGGCACCAGGCCCCCGCACCCCCGGGACGTCTGCGCCTGCGCCCGCGGCGGGGACTCAGCTCTGTCCCTGCACAGTCACGGGTGTCATCGTTCTACACTTGGAAAAAAATGCTTCTGCTTTTAAGGTAGCTCAGTACCTCTTAGGGAAAAAAAAAAAAAGTTGATTTAATGTTTTAGAATAGTTCAGTTGGTCTTTGGCCCTGGGACTGTCGGTACAAGAGATTTTCCTGTCTCTCTCAGGCACTTTCCCTGACGCTGTTGGAACGTGGTCCTGGCATTTCCAGGGGTGCAGGGCTGCAGTTCCAGCTCAGCCCTCTACGTGCAGGCAGAAATGTCTTCATTTTTAGATGGCTGTTCAGCTGGGAAGGCCAGTAAAAATCCTATTGAAACTTATGTTTAAATCTAAAATATGCATTCAGTTTGGGTGTCTTCTATGCTAAACTTCTAGTTTGTTTATAACAAGCAGAGCTTGTGAATGCAGCAGGCAAATACCTAATAGAAACAGGAGTATTATTTGAACAAGCCTCTGTAAAGCCAAGGTGAACAGTGATTCAGCTCTGTGGAGTCCTCAAAAGTGAAGATGCCCCGACTCTGTCTTTCCAGTTATTGTCATACTACAGCAAAGCTGTTAAAAAGCCTTGAACTCGTCATCCAACAGAATTTCATTGGCTTCTTACAAATAATTTCATCTACATTTTGCCAGTATATAGAACTGTATCATTTTTAGACTCTGATAGCCGAGTTGTAGTTAGCACTGAGTTGACTGTTATTTCGGGAAGAATATCTCCGTATAGATGAATCATGTGAAGACTGAATTCAGTGAAGTAATAGATGAGGAAATAAGTGTACAGAGCAGCCCTGCACTGAACGGCCATACGTACTGATTGGGTAGGAGGGAATAAGTTTCCTCTAAGCCAATAGAAATTTTAGTTCCATTGAAAATCAGTATTTTCAAAGCGCAAAAATTTTCAGATGCTTCAAAATTTTCTTCAATCACAAGAACAGGACAATCCATTACACGATCAAATCTCCCAAGAAACACGGCGGGTTCAGCAGCTGCATTGTCCCTGCTGCCTTGAGGAGCTGGAACTCATCTCCTGTCCTCCAGTCCAGCTGGGTGTAAGCAGCAGTGTCCATCCCCCTGGGTCCAGCTGGATGTGAGCAGCAGTGTCCATCCCATGGGAAGGAAGAGTTTTCTGCTGGAATACGTCGGAGCAAAGCGTGCCATCGCGTTTGAATCACGGGGATGTGTCTGTGGATTATCAAACCCAAAGGGTGCTTTTCATTTCAGTAACTCAGATTTTATCCTGTTGAGGATTCACGGGTGGCACTGGGTGTGCTGCTGCTGCTGCTTGCTTCAACCTCAGCTGTGTCCTCATCTTGGCTTATACTATTTAAAAAAAATAAATAGAAGAACGCTTTGGGAGTTGCAGTTGGAGGCAGGAGGTACCTGCGCTCTCCCTTTTCATTAGTTCATTAGTCTTCTGTGTTCCTCCTTGTTGCAGGAGGCCCTGAGTCCTAACAAAAACTTGAAGAGACTTTTACTGCCATTTCTGGGACTGCTGTTGCTGCTAAAGTGTTCTGGATAAATGTACATATAATTGTGTGATTTTAAATGGGTGTTCTGGTTTTGGGATTTGCCAGCCAGGATGGTAACGCCGCTGTGACAGGGACAGGTGGGGACAGGGGAATATTGCTTTTAAGCAGATTTGTGTCAAATCTGCAGCAGAACCACAAAATTATTTTTGTAAGATTTTCTTTACATTGTATAACTATAAAATTTTGGTTTATTGATAAAGATTATATGCTCTTTATTTTTCCTAATTCTGTGGTTTGTACACAGAATAACCTGAGCGATCCTTTCTTTATGTGTAAATAGTAAAATGGTCTGTTTTTAATTCAGGTTTAAAATGATATAATCTTATATTTTTAACTTTGTATTTTGTAAATCGTTCCTTACAGCAGCAGAAGCATTAAAGGGCGCTTTGGCTACAGCCTGGCCTGGTCTGGGCTCGTTACTGCGTTAATGAGGGCGCTGCCTTCTGCCCACGGGGGGCTGTGAGGGTAAATAAGGGCAGTTTGGGTTTGGGTGGTGGTGCACGAAGATACAATCAGTATTTTGGAAGAGGTAATTCTCTGCAGCTTTGCTGTAATAGAGTTAAACGTTCCTATTTCTCAGCCGATCCCCTCCACCCGTGCCTCCAGCCGTTCCTCACCTCACGGGTGGATCAGACCCAAGTTCCTGGGGATTTTGGGGGAGATGTGGGTGTCTCTGCCTCGGTGGGTCCGAGTGTGATCTCCTCAGGCTGTGGCTTGACTTGAATTCTCATTTTGCCTCAGGGCAGCCTGGGTCTGGGGCAAATCCCACGCGGTGCTGCTGGTGACACCGTTCCTGTGCTCCTGCCGTGGTTTCTCTCCAGGGGAGCTTCATCCTGGGACCTCAGCTCTGCTCATCTCCTCCTCACACTGACCCCACGGGGGGAGCAGGAAGGCAGAATTTTTTTGCTTATGTTGTTTTTCTTACTTTGTCACATGTTCTTGCACGAATTGAGGGTAAAATGACTGTGTGTGTCCCAGAGGAGCAGGGTGTGGGCTGGTGAGCACCACACACTCATTTTAGTGTCAAGGTGGGCACATGGAGCACACCACATTGATCAACTTGTCACCTTGGCTGCCACAAAAGGACGGAAACCCAAAATTTGGGGTTTGGTACGTGGGGTTTAAAGGCAGTCTGTACGTGACTAGTCACAAAGACAAGAAATCTATAGTTACACAACATTTATGTTGAAAATAATGTTAAAAGTTTCGGTCTTTATGTTTAAATTAGTTGGGAAAACTAAGTATTAAAATCTCAGCATCTCTCCTGAGAGCCCCGTACGGGGGTTCCTGAGAGCACCCCGAGCACCCTGTGTCACAGGGTTCAGTGTCACACCTTAATAATGCTATTTTTCCTCGATTACTGGCAGTAACTGTAAAAAGAAGAGTTAACACCTTGACATTCTATCACAGGTGAAGCCATCACACAGGAGAGCTGCAGGTGACACGTACATACCTATGTAACTGCATATACAGCGTGTCACCACGTAACACCACGGATGCAAAAACACACACACTGCTCTGAGACACACCAGGAGCTTCCATTGGGGGGTAAATACTTCACTATAAAGCGACTGTTCCTGAAAAGCCACAGCAGGAAACGTCCCCTGTCAAGGGGCACTGAGACCCCCCCACTGCTCTACCTTCCGGAGTTTTTCCCAGCTCTAGCTCAATTAAGCAAGAAAAACAGTGGCCAAACTGTTTTCTTTTTAAATACACACACACAAAAAAATACATACACACAAAAAAAACTTGACAGGAAGATCAAACAGACATTGACTGATCTCAGCCTCATCCCCCATCAAATAACGGGGCCCCACCACCTTGAAGAATCCCAGTGGCCATTCCCTGCTGGTGTCTGTGACACCCAGTTTGGGATGTTTGTCCTTTTTCCGTGCTGGAACGTCCCCACCTGCGCTGCCAGAGCACCGTTTTCAAACACCACCTTTCAGAAACCCAAAGCAGGACTTTCCCTGGAGTTTGGTGGCCCCAGGGGACATGGTCCCTGCCACGGTCCCTGCCATGTCCCTGCCACCCTCAACCTGCCCGTCCTCCCGAGGTGGTGGCCCCGTCGAGCACCAGGTATCCGTTGTGTGAACTGCAGGATTCCCCCCGGTTCGGTGCCGAGGGGTGCAGAGATGTTTGTGTGTGATCAGGGTGGTGTTACTCAGACAATACAGAAACCACCGCGTGGTGTTTGCCAGCAACACGGGGTGTCATTCATGAGTTATACATAAATGGCAGCTTTACATATTTAAAAGGAACATGGACTGCTTCATATCTGAAGTATGTTTCCCAGGAGAGAACACCACCATTTGATCTATTTTTGATTAAAATGTAAAAATTAAAAATTAAATCAAATGGTAGTATAATTCCTTGGGGAAAACATACTTCAGTTATGAAGTATTCCCCGTAGTAACCTTGAGAATCTTACAGCTGTATTGTCTCATCCGTAGGTGGTCTTTTTATGTCTCACATAATTAAAATGAATTGCTGTTGGGGAGCCCGTGCTACCGCGCACAGATTTATGAACCTGGAGGCACCTCCATTCACAGACAAACAGGGATACTGGGCACGGGCTGTGCTGGGACTGGGAACCCGGGGGGTTACTGGGGAGCACCACTCACCACTGCCCAGAGACTGTTTCCCACCAAAAACGGGGTCTGGAAACCACCCCCTGACACTGGGCTGCACCACACGGCGGCACAGAACACGAGGGTTAAAATATTCAAAGGGTGTTTTATATACCAAGGAATGGCTAATACGTCACCTGAAAAAAAAAAAATAATAAAAAGAGAAAAAAAGATTGTGAAATTGGATTTACCAGGAAAAGGCGCTCCCCGAAAAGCTAATGCGGCTTGTTTATGGCAAGCTGCTTTATCAGCCCGGCTCAGAGAAGGGGAATGTATATTTGATAAGATTAGAGAATAGTGGGGATCAGAAAAAATTCAGAGTATAGAATTTGCATTTTCACATATCGGAAGGACAAAAGTGTCATTTATTTTTTGTTTGGTTTTGATTCTCTGAGTCCTGCTAACGCCGCCCGTAACAACGGCCTGTGACTGCGCATCCTGGTCAGGCTGTAATTACAACAGCCCTAACATATTACAGTAAACACACCCGGGTGGAAGTTGCGCATCCTGGTCAGGCTGTAATTACAACACCCGGGTGGAAGGGAAACGCCTGGATTTAATGTTTAAATAGAGAAAAGAGAAAAAAGTCTAACAATGAAAACATAAAGGCTAAGGCTTGGGTAGTGCCTTGTAGGAACATTTTGTAATAAGCAGCAGGAGCGTTCCAATTTCAGTGTAATACTTAAAAGAAAATGTCTCTGATCTTTGAATTTCTTTATAGAGGGGAGTTTTTAATGTATAATCAGACTAAAATCCTCCTGTAATTGCCCAGCAAGAGGCCTGTGAAGTTTCGGGAAGGCTCAGATGGTAGAGACCAGCAGAGGAGGAGGTTTTTCCTCCTCTGTGACTCCAGCCTGAGGTTCCCTCTGCCCCTTGGGCTGGGGTGAGCTCTCTGCTGGTGGTGGTACCACCCAGGGATGGCCAGTGGTGGCCTGGGAAGGTGGTTGGACATCAAGAGTGATGACAATGACATTGTCAGAACAGGAGGAAGTAGCTGGTGGTTCAACCTCGTCACAGAATGACGTGGGGTTGGAAGGGACCAGGCTGTTAACGTCTGCCTCTTAATGCCATGAATGCCCAGGGAGTGAGTGAAGCTCTGAGCTGCATGTAATCCCTCTCCTCCTGCACACAGCAAGTGAGAGCTGAGAAAATAAGGAAACGGATGGAAAGTTTGAGAGCCCAGAGCAGAGAAATCAAAGCTGCGGGACTGGCTTTGGGATTTCTGCAAAGGACAAAATGCCAGCAGAACCCTCTCACCCACAGGTTTTATAAAAGTATCACCCAAAGTGTTAAGAGTTACGACCTTGATTCTGCAAGTCACCTCCCAAACACGAGATCTGGCTCCACCGAGCTTCCTGATTAAACACACCCTGTTAAGAATGAGGCCTTAATTAATAAAGGGATGTTCAACACCCTCTCTCCCTTCCTCACACCCCAAGCCAGGCTTGGCTGTGCCCTGGGAGAAAACAACACACCAGTTTGGTGGGAAGTGGAGATTAAACCTCGTTTCACACCGTTGGCAGCAGCACAGCTCAGCTCAGACCCTCCTGCCTTCATCCCACCACCCTCATCCTCACGGGGAGGGGGCAGGAATCATCCTCAGCACCCGTTGCCTCCAGCCCCTCTGGACGCTGCTGCCTTCAAGGCTTGAACAAAGGTATTTCTTCTAATCAATGTTAACGAGAAGCCTTTAAATAAAAGGAAGCTCCCTGAACTCGACACCTCTCTCCAGAAAACACCCGGGAAGCGAGAGGTGATGGGAGTCTGTCCTTCAGCAGGTCACCAAGGAAAGGGTCAATGAAGCTTCTGGGCAACAGGCAAGAAGGGAAAGACTCAGAGGAGAGATTTTAAAGGGGTTTGTAAGAAACAGGCACTGGCTGCTTTGAGTTATTTAGTAAAGAGGTGCGATTCCGGTGAAGATTAGATAACTTAAAATAGTTGGTAAATAACATTTAGAATTTCCTCTCTGCTTTTAGTCACCAGGGTCACATCCAGGTGACAGTTTTGCTGCTGAAGCTGTTCCAGCCCGGGCACAAAATCCTGCTCTTTACCAGCTGAGCCTCCCTCCATCTCCACCTGCAGCAAATCCCAGCCAGGACAGAGCTGGTTCCTGCTGCAGGAGGGGATAAAAGTTTCTCTCTCCCATTTCTGGGCAAAAAAAACCTGCTGCTCTCTGGGTGGGGTGACTTCGTGCCGGCCTTTATGATGAGGAATTTGGGATTCTCTTTTAATTTGGGATTTAATACGTGATATGGGATTAAATACGTGACTTGGGATTACTGCTTTGGGCACAGCTAGCTGAGGGGGTGCTCCTGGAATTACCTGTGGGCTAAAATCCTGATTTTCTGCCCAAATGGACACACCAACCCCCCGCTGCACCCAGGGCTGGGTCTGCAGGAGACACGAGCCTGAGGAAAACACCCCCTCGGCATTGCAGGGGTGGGAAAAATGCCTGGGAACAGGCAATTGGCATTAAGTAAAATGTCTGAGAGATGCTGATTTCTAAATAAGCAAAATTCTGAGTTCACATCACAGCAGCCACTCAGGGCACTGCCAAAAATATGGCACTAGAGCAGAAAGGGATGTTTTCCATGACTTTATACTGAAAATAGTGAACGTTTATGCCATCTCTAGGTCTTCAGAAACTCGGGTGCAGCCCGTGGCTGAGCCCCAGGGAAAGCCCAACAGGAGAAATTCAGAATAACCGGGTCCAAGCAGGAGGATTTGCTTGGATTTCACCTCTGGATGTGGCTTGGACTGAAACA